TCACTACAACACAACAACATTATATACACAAGGATACATAAAAATATCTAGTAAACCTAAGAACACCGCGGGTACAGTGAGGAAACTCACCTAAATCATAAACCTAAGAACACCGCAAAACATTCATTTTCTGCATTGATTGCTCCCGCAGACCTTCTAGCACCAAAACCAGGTAGAATCCTTAATAAACAGCCCAAATCCTTCAAGTTTGACCTAAAAGTCAAACTTGTTCATAAAGTAAATGGTCAAAAAAATCCAAAAGTCATCTTCCAGCCATTATACGCCCAACATAGAGCCTAAGGTGGTGAAATGGGTGAAGTCGGGGATACGCTCTGCGTAGCCAGAACCACGCATGGCATAATATGTTGTTGTCCAAATCCATCTTTTAAGTGCTTAATATAGAAGGTTAACCTGCTAAACTTTCAGATCTAATCAAGATGAGCGTCTTAATGGATAAAGTTTATGACTTTATCCATTTGCATGCATACAAAGAGCACCAATCCAAACCTTAGGTCCAAAAAACCTTATTTTGCTCAAAAGCTCATGCATTGGAGGATGATAGTGACCAAGCTCTCATTTTTATGACTTAACAACTCCAAAATTGACTTGAAATGATACCCTAATGGTCTAGAGTAGTTTATACTCATATAAACCATGGTTATGGAGACAAAAGCATGAAATCCTTAAGCATAACTAGATCTATCATCAAACAACATCAAGGTAAAAGATTTATACCTTCTAGAGATGGATGACGGGATGAAACTTCTGGATCTACACTGATTTGAGCTCCCAAGTGGTTCCACAATGTTTTTTCCCTCACAAATGCACACAAATCACTAGTGGCTCAAAACTTGCAAATGAAAAACTAGGGTTTCTAAGGAGGCCATTTGGGAGGATAGAGGCTGAGAATGGAAGGGCCTCAAGGGAGTTGGTGCCTTTAAATAGGGCTCAAAACCCCCTAAGATTAGGGTTTTAGTTTTGGGCACCTACACACTATGTAGCTCGATCTATGCCTTACGTAAATCATTTAAGTCTCACGATCAACTTCCCTTCTACGCGTTGCGTAGCAGACTACTCTACGCCCCGTGTAGGACCAAACTTCCCAACACTTTAAACTTAGCATTTTTATCAGAAAAGTATCAAATTTTTGGGAAAAGTTTCAAAAAAATCCTAAATTATTTTTTTAATAAAAAAAACCCAGAAAACCGATTAATTTATACAATTGAGCCCTCATTGACCTTTTCAACAAGTCACATGATGAGGTGGACTGCCAAATTGGATATATGGTGTACATGGCATTCACGTCAGCATTTTAAGTTGAAATAAAATAAAACGTCTAAATCAATAAAAAAGCAGAACAAGGATCGAACACGAGCCCCAGATGACTTGCATAAAGCCCTTACCACTAGGTTGTAGACATTTTTGTTAAATAATGCCTCATTTCGTTTATATAACACTAATAGTACTGAACAATAAATGAGAAAAAGAATGACCGAAAGACTCGAACTCAAAACCTCCAACTTTACAAACAAACACCTCACCCATCAAACTAGGTGCGACTTTCCTTGTTTTTCTCTATATAATGCGTAACTCGAATAATAATTTCACACATATATATATATATATATATATATATATATATATATATATATATATATATATATATATATATATATATAATATTATGTATGTATTTATACATATAAAATATATATTTTTTCAAAAATGGTCCCTATGGTTTTCAAAAATATCAAGTTTAGTCCCTAAGTTCAAAAATCCTCACAGATGGTCCCTGTGGTTTCAAAACTTTTAACATTTGGTACTTCCGGCTCACTCCGTTAGCATTTCACCGTTAACTCATTTTTTAATTTTATATTGCAGGGGTAATTTCGTCATTTTAGTTGTAACATTCTCTCTTTAAAAGAAATTGCATGTCCGATTTTTGGGCAAACCCTTTACCTTTATCAGTCGTCATGTATCTTCTCCCTTCCACTGTTGCTCGACCATTGCACCCTTCACGACATCTAATCGCTTCTGATTCAAAGATGGTGACTTGCAGATGTGGGAATGAAGCAATGAAGATCACTTCATGGACGGATCGAAACCCTGGAAGACAATTTTGGAACTGTACAAGATGTGGGTTCCTTCAATGGTCTAATCCTCCTATGTGTGCTAGGGCATTGGTGGTGATTCCAGGTTTGATAAGATCAATGAACCGATTGGAAGAGAGGGTTGCCATTGCAAGTGCAAAATTGTGGAACTGCCAGTTGATGTTGTTTTGTTCATGGGTGTTTTTTTTGGTATTATTTTAATCTCTAAGTATCTTGTGAAGGTTTGGATGGTAATGGAGTTTTGGTTTTTGGTTTGTAACCATTACAGGGGGTTTTTTTATTTTAATCGAATAGGGGTTTTTTTGCTTTCAGTTTATGTAGGGGGCTTTGGAATTGGTGTTGTTGTGTTTGGTTTATGTATCAGATTAATGTGTAATGGAGTGGTAATGGTAATGGTAATGGTAATGGAATGTAGTTTGTAATAGTTGATTGTTCAATTTCTTGAATGTTTTTGAAATGCAATTGTTAAGTGTATTGTAAATGCTCATTTAAGATGGTTTTAATTTGCAATTGAAATGTACAATGTTATTAATTGATCTGTGAAGGGTAGTACACAAAACAGATTAATTCATTAGCAAAATGTGCATACTGCATACACACCATTACATGCAAAATTTTAAAGTTCTTAACACAACCATCATACTAAGTTTCAAAAGACCTACAACACAAGCTTGACTTAAGTTTCAAAAGACCTACAACACAAGCATTACATGCAATTCCTGAAAAGTTCTTAACACATCTTCAAACAATTACACATGACTTTAGTTTCAAAAGACCTACAACACTAGTACCAGATCCAACTACTGAAAATACTTTTCAGCCCCTTCCAACTTCACCACTACCTCCCTGCCTTTTACATGGTCTGGAATTGTGCCCTTTGTTATGACACGTAGAGCAAGTGACTTCCAGATATTTCCTGCTCAATCTACCAGCTTGACTGTTTGGCTCATCAACACCCCTCCTTCTCTTCTTCTTAGGCGTTCCAACCTACATATATTGATACACTATAGTTAAAATTGAATTCATTCCATGTTCACATGTTTACTATATAATTTGTCTACTTGAAATACAAACTTGTGTTTTACGTTTTGGTGGAAGTAAAGTGAATAGGAAGTCACTTTTAGGCCACATTAAATGTCCATTCAATGGATCAATTTTGTTGAAATACATGGCTTTCCATGTTGATAACCTATAGCAAGGATGGACCCATTCATCAACATGTGGGGCATTTTCACCATTTTCAATTTTGTCCTATATAGAACAAACAACATGTCTACATGGGAAACCTGTAATCTCCCAAAACCTACAACTGTAACTTTAGTCATTCATGTTTACCACATATTGGTCTTGCCATGTGCTTGCCACTTGGTACTTTCCTGCCCCATTGTATTTAACCACATACTTAGGTGCATCAGTCTTAATCTTTTCAAACATTGTAGTTGTAGTAGGGGTTAGAAGTCCTTCACAATTATCTATTTCCTTTTGCACCACACATAACCTCTTCATAAGATACTTTCTAATACAAGTGATAATAGGTTTATCCCTACCTTGATCTAGCTTAGAATTGAATACCTCACAAAGGTTATTCAACAAACAATCAGTATGTGCCCTTCTTGAATAATAGATATTAAGAGAAGACAATTACACATATAGTAAACACACAACAGGGAAGATTAACATTTATCAATAAATTTCTCAAAACTTACCACAAAAGTGAGATTTAGCCCAAGTGTTTGCTGGGATCTTACACACCCAAGCATGAGCCTCTTCATTGATCTTCTTCAACTCATCCATTGTTCTGTTAAAATGATTGACTGTTGTTGCTCTACCACACTCCCAAAGCTAGTCACTTAAGTCTTTTTCCTTTCCATTGTTTCTTCATGTTTTCCTGGATATACCTCAAATAGAACCTATGTTCTGCACTAGCGAATACCTTCTCCATTGGCGATATTATTCCCTAAACAAAATTCAATGTATGCAACATCAGTTACCCAAATGTATTTAGAAATGGTACTAAAAAAAGGTTAGGTGATACACACCTTTTATCTATCAAAAATGAATGTAAAGTTTGAATTTGCTCCCAGATCTCGATCTTCTCCTAACAATTCCAAGAACCACGTCCAACTACTTGTTGATTTTGTCTCTACCACTGCATATGCTACAGGGTATATGCCATTGTTTGAGTCCAACCCTGCAGCAGTTAACACTTGCCCAGGGTAAGGGCCCTTCATGAAAGTACCATCCAAACCTAGAAAATATCTTAACCCATATTTGAATCCTAACTTCAATGCACCCAGACATACATATATTCTTTTAAAAGTTCTTGTGGTAATATATAGGGAGGTTTCTGGATACACATCAATTTGAACTGTTGTACCAGGATTAGTGTTGAGCAGCTCCAAAACATAATCCCTCAAAAATCCATACTATACTTGGTAGTCCCCACTAATGATACGTTCATCCATTGACTTTGCCCTAGCAACCTTTTGTAATGACATTCCTACCTCTATTTTCTTGCACAACGCTTCGTGTAAAGCTTTCACTGGAATTTTAGGGTTACTCTGAATTTGTTGAACAATTGTGTTCGCTACGTATCTGGAAGTTCAAGCTTTAACCTCCCTTGTTTGCAAACATTTATGCTCATCCTGTACTGTTTGCACCAACCAATCCTAATTTTCATTAGCCCTCAATATTTGGACTGCCCATGGACATGTACTTTTATTGGCAATTACATCTTTACCCTTGCACTTTGCCCTACTTCTAGTTGAGGGCACACCACCATCAACTACTTTAGATGGCTTACTTACAACACCTTTACATTTCATCCTAATCCGAATCTTGTCATTTTTTATAGGTATAAAGACCTCCTTCTTGCTACAACGTGTGAGTTCATGTAATTTTTAACATCACGCTTGGTTTTGAAGACCTGGCCAAAAATGGTTTTACATGAACCTCTCCATGTGAGCATGTACTTGACTTACTCAACTCTTTTAGCAGTCTCTTCTTATCATCTTCATGAAATCCCGCAAATTGATAATCATCAGTGGCAATAACTTCCAACTCATCATCAACCATGTCATTCCCTTCATCTTTTGAATGATTGTTCAAGATTCCATGTTCATCTACATCAACAGCATTATGGAATTCCCTCATGTTTACATCTACATCAAATTGTATGTTAGACTCATCCATATTGTATTTGCTGTCATCAGAATCATCTCCACTATCCTCAGAATGATGGCCACTCTTAGAATAGAAAGCCTCTCCACTATCATCACTCACCATACCCTCTAGATAATCCACTTCTGGCTGTTGTTCAAATGAAGTTTGAACATTAAACTCAGCATCATAATCAGCATAAAGTGAGTAATCCTCTATAAATGGTTCAGTCATCAACTGTTGTAGTATTAGCTCCATCATCAGCTTGGCATCTTGGTTCCTGTAAATGGTAAGTTCCCAATGGTTCTTCAATTTCAACTGCACTAGTGATCACTTCTTCTTGAGTTTCAAGTTCATGATTCACCACTTCCTCTTGAATGACATGACTTTGTTTGCTAGCTTGTGACCTTATAAATGGCAGAATAGTCTTTGAGTAATCATGCCCTTCATCAACATCTAATACTTGTGACTGCTCATAATCAGGGTTTACAGACTTTTTTAGATCAAGCTTTCTACTGCATGATCCTGCTTCTCTCCTACAAGTTTTCTTTCTATTCATTTCAGGTGACACACTATCAGGCTTAAAGTCTTTAGTAACAACTTTAGAAGGAGACTTGTAATAACTAGCTACCCTTATCTGACCAGTTTCAATATACACCCTAATAAGTCTGTGTTTAGGGACATATGATACCATTTTAAGTACATCTTGTTCATTACCTAAAGGCATTAAGCCATAGTCCAAAGGGTATTCAAGGATACAGAAATGGTAGTAAAGGGTTTGCTTAGTTTTGTACCCTAGTTCTCGGACCATGTCGTCAAGCTCATGAACTGAAAATAAATCAGTGTCAACATCATCTACATATGCTACAACACCATCAACGTATTTCCTTCTAGGTGCTTTGGTGAAGACACCACTGTAGTATATCTTCAATGTGAAATAGTTGTCATATCCTTCTGCAAACACAAAAAAAAGAGTAAAATCAATGATTTCTCTACGTGAACACAATCGACCAAGAAAAAACAAGTTTTGTTGTAGTATTGTACCATATCTTTTTCCTAAGTCCTCCACGCTTACAAAATTTTCTTGAAAACACCATATTGATAGCACCATTGCAATTCCTGCAGCTTAAAACCCTAAATCCCAATTTATGTTCTTGCTTCTAAGATGGGAATGAACCCGATGAATACAGATGTAACCGGTTATCTTCTTGGGAGAGGGACGGGTAGCGACGTGCAAGCAATAGGTAATCATTTCATATTAAAGAGAGAAGGTTACAACCGAAATGACGAAATAACCCCTGTAATATAAAATTAAAAAATAAGTTAACAGTGAAATGCTAACGGAGTGAGCCGGAAGGACCAAATGTTAAAAGTTTTGAAACCACAGGGACTATCTGTGAGGTTTTTTGAACTTTGGGACTAAACTTGATATTTTTGAAAACCACATGGATCATTTTTGAAGTTTTGTCTTAATATTATTTAAAAATGTACATCTAAAATCATATAAATTAGTTTTTATATGTATAAAGTTTTTATATGTATTTTTCATAATAATTATAAAGATTTTATAAGTTTATTAAAATGTATTTATACTAATTTTTATGTAATTTTTAATAATATTAATATAGCGAGTATTATGAAAAATATGTATAAATACATTTAAAATGTATTTATATAATAATATTCATAAAAACGAATTTAAAAAATATTTTAATTATTTACTTTTAATAATAATAATAATAATAATAATAATAATAACAGTAATAATATTAATAATTACAATAAATCTTAATATTCTAATTAAAGTTATTATTCTAACTACACTTCATATATATTAAAAAAAGATGAAGGAACATCAAGTTGTCCTAAGTTGATGGTTAAGGTGTTTGTTTTTCAAGTCTACTAGTGTTCATTTTTCTCATTTATTGTTCAAGGCTATTAGCAATATATAAGTGAAATTAGCCCGCTTTTTCGCTTTCTGGGTTAAATTGTTTAAATTATCCGGTTTTTTGGGTTTTTTTATTAAAAAAAATAGTTTAGGACTTTAAATTTTTTTTCCAAAAGTTTAGGATTTTCTTGATAAAAACACTTAAACTTACAATTGCAAGGACCGGGTGTTACACATCTATACATGGAATATTAGGATTGGTTTCTTGTAGTTATTATAAACTAGAGCAAACTTGATGTGACTACAGCATTCCTAAATTGTAAGCTTGAGGAAGATAATGATATAAAAGATTTGATTCATTCATGACTAGTCACACGATGAAATGTATGCCTACAACAATTATGTTTATTACAGGAAATGTAATGATGGATCAATGGTCTATTTACTTTTATGCGTTCATGATATGTTAACTATAACAAAATATTATGAAAGGGATTTAAAAGACTAAAGACCAGTTGAATGATGAATTTGATATGAAGGACTTAGGAAGTATGAAAAAATTTTGGGGAATAGAAATTGTGCTTCTTGGAAACACAAGCATTTTCGCAACCCACATTAAGCTATCATCCGCTTGAAGTTCTATTACTAAAACTGATGTTGCCTACATGGCACATGTATTGTACACCATCGTTGTTGGATCTTTGATATATGTTATGATATGTATACACCATGATTTGTAATATGTCGTGAGCATGGTTATTAGATACGTGTAGAACCCATGGAAATAGCTTTGGAATGTTGTCAAATGATTTTTTTATTATTAACGAGGTACATTTTACGTATTCTTACACTACGGTAAAACTAATTATAGGGTGTTTTGATATGTAGATTATGATTATGCAAAAGATTTGCACAAGTTAAGATCATATACATGGTACGTGTTCATTTTATGTGGTTATGTTATTAATTGGAAAATACAATTACAGTCTATTGTTTCATTATCCACTAGGACAACTACTGAAGGCAGAGTATACGGCTATAAAGGAAGTTGTTAAAGAGGTTATTTGGTTAAAAGGTCTGATTGGACGACTTAATGACACACAGAAGGCTAATATTGTGTATTGCGACAATCAAAGCGCAATTTTCCTGACCAAGGATCGAATGTAACATATTGCTGTATACAAATTTCATGACATCTATTCACCATTTACTCCAAATATTACAAAAGGAAAATAACTCTAGAAGTCCTCACGATATACCCATCATGGGCCATAGCCTTTATAAATTGGTGCATGTGCTCAAGACAAACAATCTGAGCCACTAGACCACATGGCCATAGACTTTCATGACACAACTATTTGGACCAACAATAGTTGTACCCTTTGCATCAAAACTTGTAAGCCCATGGAGTAAAAACTAAAAAGTAGTGTAAAGAATCCAAATAAGAATATTGACCTTTTAGATATACAAAAAGGTGAAAAATCTAAAAGGAATCAAGAAAAAGAGTAGCAGTGCCCCCCACAAACACCCATTCACAGAAGACAGCCTCATTTCAAAAGGCATAAATTCCCCACATACAAAAAGTACATCCAAAAAAAATAGGCTATCATGGATTACAACCGATAATCGATTCCCTACTACCACCATACAACTCCATAGATTACAACAGGATTTCATCATATTACAAAACACCCTTAGATCAACCTTAACCATAAGATCAAACCCGGAACCAAAACAGTCAATAAAGTCAAACACTTGAAAGATTCAGCACCACTGGTGTCTTGTCCTGTAGGGCCCATTCCAAACGGCGGGTTCAACCCAATGCCAGTTCCAGTTCCAGTTCCAGTCCCAGTCCCAGTTCCGGTTCCAGTTCCGGTTCCGGTCCCAGGGGTTCCGGTCCCGGTTCCGGTTCCGGTCCCAGGGGTTCCGGTTCCGGTTCCGGTCCCAGGTGGTGATGAGGTGGTTGGAGTTGTCGAGCTGCATTAATCAAGAATCACATTTTTAAAAGCTTTCAATGTAAATCTTGTGTTTCCATTTTTACCCCTACCGATGTCTATACATTTATAGCAATGTTCTAAAAGGAATTCTAGAGTTATGTCTAAAAGCGATTTTTTCCACGTAAATATATAATCTTGAAAGCATATTATGATAATATGCTCCATCTTTTCCAAAATTCAGAACTTTACATTTATATGTATAATACCGATGCTAGAATATTTAACAAAAATGATTTTGAAATTTTATCCCGACATACAATCGAAGATCATTTTGGTCAATTTCTCTAGATTTGATCATTTCAAATTTGTACAAGTTATCTTTTGACCACAAAAGTCAAAGCTGCATTTTCTTTTCTATCACTTTCTTTAGGGGTTACTTCCTACTAGGTCAAAAAAAGTAGTAATTTTTTTATCGTTTATTTGATAATTAATTATTTTATTAGTAACACAATAAAAAAGAATCAAGTAACTAAGTATTATGAATTAGAAAAAAGGATATTTGACCATGAAAGACAAATTTGGATTTTCTTTCCTACTATAAATATAATATAATCTTTAGTAGTATACTTAATACAAAATTATGATATATGATCATTTTGTTCCTGACGCAAATTTATTATTTGTAACATTGATTCATATCTCCATTATTGAAAGCATAATGTGACCTAACATGACCTTTGCTTGATATATTGTCATAAAACAGGAAGTAATATGCATATGATATCAACATCTTGACAACTCATGAGTGTACTGAAAAAACAGTACCTAATCTAAATAATACTTTTCTGGATCTACAAAATGATTCCTAAAAGCCAGCTCTAGAAGCATCATACAACTTTCAATGCATGATGTACAAGACATCATTACATATTATTGCACTTATTATGCATGATGTATAAATCCTGATAATTCAGAAAATTTCAAATCAAGTGATTGGCCCCTTCAACCACAGACACTAAACAAAAAAGGTTCCACCTTTTTCCGAAGAAGAAAGTTCCCAAAACCAGAGCACTAACTATATAGTAAATTGTACATTATGCATAGAAACTTGTACGTATCTCTGGATTTTGGAGTTTTCTACTCTGGAAAGATGGTTTTCCCAAGAAACATCAAGAAGTGCATCATCACCAAGAAAGATGAGCTTCTTGGAATATGAAATCACACCCTTTTTAATATTAGATCAATCAAAAAGTATCCTTTCTTTATATTCACTTTTTTAGTTTAATAAAACAAATTTAAACTCACAAAGACTGGAAAAATTAGATCTTTATGCATCAAGAAACATATCCACATAACTTAAAAATGAGATCTTTATGCATCAAGAAACATACCCACATAACTTTAATCTCAATCATGGTGAGAAAATGAATAATTTACTAACAAAATGGAGAAAAGTGCAAGATCTTGTAATAAAGATGCTAAAATTAGAAGGTTGGGTGGAAGGTTAGAAAGCACACCTTGGGCTACCAGCATAACATACAGAAGTTGCCCCTGAAAATTAAGCAAGAAAGCACAACAATAAGGCTGGAGAAAAAAGAGAGATCAAAAAGGCAGAAATAGACAGGATAATATAATGTACAACACTCATTGCACAACGCACAAGTCATCATAGAAAATATTTCTTTGTGTTTTGAGATTAATGCTCTGAGCAGAAAGAGGAATGTTGTGTGTGCGGTTGGCGAACAACTTTGACTGCGTGAGGCACAAGTCACTAGAGCATTACTTTCTAATGATTTCGATATCGTTTGGAGTGTTTGTTGGTGTACAACTTTTAGTTCATGAGGTACAAGTCACTACAGAAGTATTGTTCCAGAAACTGGATGGAAGATGAAGAAAGACTTGCCAGGTGGGGCTGTTTGGCTAACGGTAGCTGTGTTTGAGAAATCGCAGCTCCCTGAAACTTCACCTTTCCTTTGGAAATAGCTGTTGACAGCGTAATTACAGTGATCCTTGACTGTATTAGGGTTAAAACAAGTAGCACCTTGAAGGATTAGACTACAATCAGCTCCATTTCCACAAGCATAATCTATGTTCTTTTGAAGAACTGCGTCACCCAATGAAGGGTTACATACACAATAAGCTGCGCCTGAAAACCGACATAAAAATTGGTTGATTTGAGGGTCGAAAAGCAAATCTAGGAGAAACCCATTTGAGAAGAAGTGGAAAATCGAAAACCCTTTTGAGGAAAAGGTAGGAAACATAAGAGATCTTACTTGAAAAGCCTGCCATGGCCAAGAGAACCACCATGGAAAGTGCAAAAACAGCCATGGTTTGTACCCAGATGGTGAGGTTGTTGCTTGATTATGACGGATAGTGGTGTTAAAAGTGTTGTTTTCGAACTAGAAATATGCAGAGAGAGAGAGAGAGAGAGAGAGAGAGGGGGGGGACTGGGGAGGGGAGTGGCAAATTTTATTATCCTAGGCCACAATGGGCCGACGGTGTAGCGGTTGGGTGTTTATGTTATGACTTATGTTATGTGTATGTATTTTTACTATTTTCTATTAATTAAAAGTAAATTAAGGGGTAATAACAAAAAAATACCATTTGTTTCTTGAGTGTATATCTCCAAACTTCGAACATTTTTATATTTTACAAAAATAACTACCAAATTCAGTATAGGTTGTTTCGGACAAAATCGACAAATCTTACTAATATGTGTATTTATAAGCCCGGGAATTCAAATATTTCATATTTATTATATTTCGGAACGGTGTTTGATCTTTTATAAAATTTCAACTAGACGAACCATGAATTTATATTTGGCTATGGTAAACCGTGTTAGGTTTACAATTTATAGTTCCGTGATTTGTAGTTAGATAGTCCAAAATATGATGATGCGATGAATACTATAATCCGGAGAACAAGTACGTAATAGGTTTCCATACTGCCCCTTGTTATATTTAGGTTGGTATCTTGTTTCGTAGGGCCTACATCAATTTGTAGTTAGCTTAAAGAACCCAAAAGTCTCAATTACATGTCTAAAACATAAACAATATTCCATAATCAATGTGAAGTTCAATACTGAAATGGATTGTTATTATTTTATTCAATATGTATAATTAGGTTTTAATAAGGTGGGTTTAAATTGTCTTTGTAGTTAAATATTACTTTTATGTAAGTATTAGTGATATTCATACAACCAAATTTGCGTAATCAATCTCACATTTGAAGAAATATACCAAAACATGAACTTATGTCTTTATAGCATGAAGTCTTTGAAGGTACACCTAATAATTTTACATGGATGTTACTTGGGAATTTAGGTTATATAGATGCGGAGATATCTTACCTCCTAAAACTTCCAAAATTATAGTTACTTCCGATAAGTGATCTATTATATTCATTTATTACATAGACATTTTAACTGTCTCATATTAGATAATATTCGATTATTATTTACGTATAGAAGCTCTGGTTGTGGAAACAAAAACGAAATTCACATCCATAATCCATTACAACCAAATCTAAAAGTAAAAAGGTCAAAGATAATGTTAAAACTCAAACGTAAAGCAGATACAACTCGTAAAAATATGATTGAGATCGAGCCTTATAAGGCTATCATTCCAAAAATCACAGTCTCAAAACTTTTGACGTCAAATTCTACCTAACAAATTAATTAACTTTAAATTAAGTATAGTCGAAAACTTTGATTCAATTATAATAAGTTAACTTTGTTAGTTTTAGGGAATCAGAATAACAATATGTAAACTTAGATAATTTTTAGGATCATGTTTTTCAAACACTTTGCAAAATTTGTAATTCATCCATTTTTGTCTGGGGTATACGAATTCAGAAGTGGGATAATCGAATACCAAAAACCAATCTGAATTACATGCCTAATTTGAATTGAGAAACACAAAATATATTTGTTTGATGTGTTCTTGAGAGATAGAGTGATTCTGATGAATAAATTTCGAGTATATAAAAATGTAGCCCCTTTATTGGAACATGTAATATGTTCTTATAAAAGATGAAAAGGTAGTTAATGGTGGTTACATGTAGTTTGGCGCCAAAATGGTGGTTGAACATATAGTTATTTAGACATAACCGATATGACATCATCATGATGTCACAACCTATTTTTGGCGAGAATTTGCATAGTTGGACTTTTTCATGATATAGAAATTTGCTTAGGTTCAAGGTGCTTCCCCAAGCCCTACAAGGGTGCTGCCCCTTAGACCCTTATACCCAGGGGGTTGCCCCCATACCCCTATATCCGGAGCTCACATTTATCACTCCGAGTATGCACCCCGCACCTCCAATATCGGTGAATGAAATATAACTCAACATATCTCAATATTAATAACAATTACACTAAAACATGTTGATAACACTAAAATCACCAGTATTCCTCCCCCATTTTAGTGTAATCCTTAACTAACTAAAAGTAAAGACAAAGTAACCTCATGCATAAATGAAAATATCTTGAAGATTGAATTTTCACATTAGTATAATACACATTTCAAATACTCGAGAGTCAGGGTGTCCTAAGGATTGAACCCTTCAAACTCATTTAAGTAACTGAAGATACTATACGCATAAGTTAAACATAATATCTAATGTTTCATACTTGACACTAATACATTCATGTGTCCCTATCTGTTCATGAGTGCATAAAATCCCAGCCCAAGCTTTCTGAAGCGGCAACACTTCACACTCATATAGGTATCCCTTCTATATCATGTACCTGTTTATGCACTTTTTCAAAAGAAACTATTAAGAACTTAATCAACCTACTTTGACTCTACAGGTTATAAGCACATACATAGGGATGAAAACATAATGTTCTCCAATCTCCATAAGCAAGCATTCCACATTGAATTCAACTTCTAACATTGTATTAGAAGGGAACTGGGTATCTCACCCATAGAGATATCAAGTAGACCTTAAACTCATCCCTATCACTGACTTCTTTACCAAGTCTCTAGCTAATCCTTTTTATCAAGTGATCAGCTAAATTTTGTTGAGATTGAACAAACCTAGAGAAATGATACCATGAGTAATGAGCTTACGTATCATGTTGTTCCTAACACCCAAATGTCACGACTTTCCATTATAAACTTGACCGTATGTTTTTGCTAAGGTGACAACATTATCTTTCACACCCCCGAACCAAACGGCGGAAACGTCCGGGAGTTGGGTGACTTCATCTTGTAATATCATCACAGTGAATATAATAAAAACAAAGCAAGCATCATCATCACACGTATAATAATACAACAATACTGAGTTTACATTGTTATAATTGTTTACAAGAGTTACATCCCAAAAATATAAATGTTTATAATATAGCAACAAAATGCAACAAATTCCTCATATTCTTGATGCCCACTTGCTTAACGATTTCTTGAGAATACAAGTTATTTGAAAACATCAACATATATAATGTTGGTGAGTTCATAAGCATGTTTGAATGACAGGTTTTGTATCATATAGTAACACCAGAAAATCCAATATTTTCTGTAAAAATGGTTTGAAGTTTTGTGTTCAATCATGTGTTAAGGCATGTGTGTTTTTGTTTGAAAATGTGTAAAGAGTATTTCAGAAAATCCTATACTTTCTGTTGTAAGTAGAAGATATTGTAAAATTGAATGTTATCCAGGAAAATCCGATATTTTCTGTTTTTAAAAGAGTTATGGCCTTAAAACCCTAAGACCGAGTGTCAGTATATGTATGTTTTTGTATCATCAAAATGGTATATGTATTTCGTAAATTTATAATGGAGTTATTCTCTATGTGAGTCATTATAACCATATTCGATAATGACAGGTTCGCTTGTCTTGACGTTTTTCAGGCGCTGACTTGTTTAAGGTAATGTTTGTCACCTTAGACTGGCCTAGTCTAACTATAGCGAACAACTCAAGTGTAGGGGAGTCAATCCCGTGTAGATCTATACACAAACTCTCGCTCTCCCTCTTGGAGACTCTGGTTATAACTACAGGCTACAGTTGTACAATAGATAGGTGTCAAACGAAAAGTCTCGCAAGAGCCTTAACTAAATTTAAGTGAATATTAAATTGCTTAGTATATATTGTTTCCGTGTATGTTTTTAGTTTATTAGGCCCAACAAGCATGTAAATGGACTACAAAGGCCCAAACAACATGTAATGTATATTCTAGACCCAATAAGCATGTAATTGGACTACAAAAGCCCAATAGACATGCAGTGTGTATTCCAGGCCCACTTAAACATGCAAATGGGCCACTACGGCCCAATAAGCGTGTAAGGTATATTCCGGCCCAAATATAAAAAATGTAAGTGACGTATTTGTTCTGTTTGTTATGACGTTGATCATTTAAGCTCAATTGTTTAACAAAATGGCATAAAGGCCCACCTTTTGTAAAAAAAAACATTTTTAGTCCATAAAACCGAAAATTTACAATTATGACACATTTTTGGTAAAAATGATGCTTTAAGTCCCTTAAGACCAAAGTTTGCATTTAAGGACTTGTTTCAAAAAGTAAAATAAAAATTTTAGCCAACTTTTTGTAACACCCCGTTTATTAAAGAAAAAAATGAGCAAATTAATAAATTAATAGCATCCCTAAAATCCGTAATGATATAGCAAGGTGCTGGTCTCGAGGGTTAACTGTTACAATTTTAGAAGTTAGGGGTTAGAAGTGTAAGTTGTGACAACTGTTAAATTTCGGTCAAGTCAAAGTCAACTAAAGTCAACAAGTCAAACCGTTTGACTCAATTTGCCCTTGGGTACTAGAATTTACATTGTGAAATTTCTACATAACTCTCTATTCTAATGAGAGATCATAAATCAAAAAGTGCGAACATCTAGATCTTCTTAACCTAAAACTGTGGTACGTGGCTAGCCAAACTGATAAAACAATGTTGCATACTCATCGGGAGTGTGTAAGATCCTAAAACAAGGCTTAACAGGGTTTACAAACCTTACCTTGCGAAGCCAGACACTCACAAATGCCACACTCGAAACCTCTCTCAATTGTTTTCACTCTATCTCTCTCTATTTGAAATCTCTCTAAGTATGTGAAACCTCTCCCAAAAGTCTCTTTGTATGAGAAATCTCTCCAAGAATATCAAATCTCTCCCAAATCTCTCCAAGTATGTGAAATCTCTCTAAAATATCTCTCTGTATGAGAAATCTCTCCAAGAATGTCAAATCTCTCCCTAATATCTCCAAGTATGTGAAATCTCTCGCAAAAATCTCTTTGTATGAGAAATCTCTCCAAGAATATCAAATCTCTCCCAAATCTCTCCAAGTATGTGAAACCTCTCTCAAATATCTCTCTGTATGAGAAATATCTCCAAGAATGTCAAATCTCTCCCTAATCTCTCCAAGTATGTGAAATCTCTCGCAAAAATCTCTTTGTATGAGAAATCTCCCCAAGAATGTCAAATCTCTCCCAAATCTCTCGAAGTGTGAGAAATCTCTCCCAAATCTCCCTCAAAAGTTTCCCGTGACTTTTTAGAATCATTCGGGTCATTCCGACCCTTAACCAGGTCAAAAACGGCTTAAAACGGAGTGAAAACGAGTGAAATATGCTTTAGGAACCGAAACCCTTCTTAGGAAGAGAAGCATTTCGGACCGAAAGTAAGGAGAGAAGCCTCTCGGTCTCTACTCCTCGCCTCTCGGTCTCTGTCTCTCTACTCGCCTCTCTGTTCTCCTTCCCTCCTCTCAGCTCTCTGCTTCACTTCTCGCTCTCTGTTGCTTCTCACTCTCTGCTTCGCTTCTCTCCTCTCTGTCACTTCTTCACTCTCTGTTCCTTCCGCCTCTCTTCCCCTCTCGGTCTCTATTCTCTCTTCTCTCCTCTCTGTCTCTTCTCTTCTCTCGGTCTCTCTTCTCCCCTCTCGGTTCCCTCTCTCTCCTTTCTCCCCTCTCGGTTCCTGCTCTCCCTCTTCTCCCCTCTCGGTTTCTGCCCTCTCTCCTCTCGGTTTCAGCATCAGAAGGCCGAACCTCGGCCAGATTTCGGAAATTTGTCAATTTTAGCCCCTTTTTGATATTTTTAATATTTTAAGCCCGTTTTTCGTGATTTTAAAGCAGGATTTTCTCCAGAAATTATATTTTAACATAATAAACTCTAAATATTCATAATTTAAACATATTTTGATGAAAATCATTATCTAAATAATAAAAATCAAATGGGTGAATTATTAAAGGTGGAGTGTTGACTTTGCCTTATCCAATGTCACAAGCAACCACCCCACACCCACTCTTTGACTAACCACACCTCCCCACCTTACCTAAGTCACATCAATGCCCCTTGCACTCATTTTCCACTCATTCCCACGTTTTTAGAGCTGGAACAAACATCCTCTCTCCTCATTTCTCTCATTTGCTCTCATTTCACTAAGTATCAAACACCACTTTTCTCTCAAACTTTTTCTCCACCAAACTCGAGATTCAAGGCTGATTATGAAGTGTTCTTCCACATTTGGTAAGCATAATCCAATATCCTTATGATTATCTCACTTATTTCCACTCAAATCATGGATATTTTACACAAACTCCATCATATTTGTGTTAGAGCTTCGAATCTCCAAGTGATTCTTCAAGTGTTCTTGGGTTGAACACTTCTCTTCTTCAACACTTATCTACTGAAATCACTCAAGGTGAGTTCATACCCCTACATTTTCATGTTTTCTCAAGTTTTCAGGGGGGGAATACAAGTTAAAACACCAAGAACATAACTAAAATTTTCTAACAGCCTTCATCAGAAAATTTCAACTCCATTCACGGACTATTTTGGGCATCTTAACCATTTTTGTTTTTAAAACTGTACAAGGTGCAAATAGTTCAAGTTCTTAGCTTTAAAATGGCTACTTGCACATCTCCATACGATTTTTCTACAATTTATGGTGATTTTTACAAAACTGCCTATCATTTCAAACAACAATCCGGACCAGTCTGTGATTTTGGACTTATTCACCCAAGTTGGAGGTCGTTAAAAATCGTGATAAAAATTATGAGTAAACTAGACACATTTTGTGAACTCTCAGAATTTACGGATCTAGTTTTCGACTTCGTATGATTTTTCTATGATTTTTCCAAAACAGGGAAGAATGGCTAAAGTTAGCCAACAACATGTAAATATCATAACACTTTGTATTATGTTGAGCAAAGTGTATAATCATAAGTTCTAATTATCGAATGTGTTTACTTGTTAGTTTTTCATCATGAACTGAAACTAAGTAATTCATAATAAATATTAATCATTCATTTTAGAACACGTATATTAAACTATAAAGGTATAGTTTGATAAATTCATAACACTAATACATTTTCATAAAAGAGTTCATACATATTACATACATTTTA